GTTGTCTCCCCCCTAATATTGTTTTTCATACATGCATCATCATCTCCTACCATTAAGCCTTGTAAGGCACTACTATTCCCTAGTGCAGCCAAATTTTCACATTGTTTGCTTTTGCAAGATCTAATATAAGCATAACCCTCCCGATCTTTGTCATATACATCCATAACAAGATCAAGTGGTTTAGGGAAAATACATAGTTTATCAAAACTATATTCCTAATGCTTCTTGTTAAGTTATGACTCTTTTTCAATTACTTTGAAAAATATTGATTACATTTCAAACGACATTCTTAAAAGAGAGCAGCTATGGAAATCATCCGTAAAAAGCTGAAATTAAGGACTCGACTGTTACCACTAAGAATGGCGGTTTACAGAGTTTTTTTAAAAAAGGATTAAAAGAGTCAAAATAAACGTTTTAAAAGTTAGTGATTTTTAAATGGCAGTTATTAGACACTAATGAAGGGAAGGTGTTGGTGTAGTGGAAAGAAAACATAAATACCTCTTGGAAACTGCCAGAGCCCTTTTATTCCAATCAAAATTGCCTGTCAAGTATTGGGGTTAATGTGTTTTGTGTGCAACCTACATCATAAATAGACTATCCTCTTCTCATAGTCACCCTAAATCCCCATTTGAACTACCTTACAAAAGAAAACCAACATACTCCAATATGAAAAGTTTTGGGTGTCTGTGTTATCCTTCTGTACCTAAGGTGCATAAGGACAAATTTGAACCCAGAACATCACCACATGTATTCATTGGTTATCCTTATGGAGTCAAAGGGTACAAGGTCCTAAGTCTTGCCACTAAAAAGATATATGTCTCCAGGGATGTTGTTTTCATTGAAAGTGTATTTCCATTTACTCTAACATCTGAAACTGCATTTTTCCCTTCTGTCTTCAATAATCTTATTCCCTTCATTGATTGTTCTCCTCAGAATGATAGACATCTTTATGTCAATGATAATGGCACACGCATTGCACACAATCAACCTTTAGAACATGCTATTCCTTTAACACCTGCTAGACCTTCCATGTCATCAGATGATTCTCCCTCCTTGCTACCATTTGACACACCACAATCTTCAAACCATAACACATCACCTGTTGGGGATCAACCAGACCAGACCTTCATTACCCTAAGGAAATCACAAAGGCCTCTCAAAACACCACTACATCTACAAGATTACCTTCACTCATTCCAAAGTTGAAATCACCATCCCCTGCTAATCACTATAACTCAACTACACCATTTTTGTCTCAATGTTGCATTTTTCAAGAATCATCATGTATCTCCTGATACTCTGATTCCTGAAAGTCAAAGTCTTGTAAGGGACATTTGCACTGATAGTGAACCTTCATCATATGAGGAGGCAGCCATGAATCCTGTATGGCAATTAGCTATGAACCAAGAGTTTGAAGCACTACATGCTAATCATACTTGCGACCAAGTCCCTCTGCCTGCTGGGAAGAATAAAATAGGATGTATTATGTATATAAAATAAAACACAAAGTAGATGGGAGTGTAGAAAGACTCAAAGCTAGGTTAGTTATGGAAGGGTATACTCATCAAGCAGGTATTGACTACACAGAGACATTCTCTCCTGTAGTTAAGATGACTACTGTGAGGTCTCTGATAGTTGTTGCTGTGAAGAAAGGGTGGCACATGTCCCAATTGGATGTGAATAATGCCTTCCTACATGGTGACCTGAATGAAGAGTTCTACATGGAGGTTCCTCAGGGCTTGGCAGTAGACAATTCAGAGTTGGTTTGCAAACTCAACAAGTCACTTTATGGGCTGAAACAGGCCAGTAGGCAATGGTATGCTAAGCTCACTAAAGCCTTATGTTCAAGGGGTTATGCACACTCTATGTATGACTACTCTTTATTTTACAAGAAAACTAAAAATTCAACTGTATATATAGCAGTGTATGTAGATGATATTATGGTGACAGGCACTGATACAATGGAGATTGAGGAGTTGAAAACTTTTCTGAATGACAGCTTCAAGATAAAAGATTTGGGTAGGTTACACTATTTTCTGGGTCTAGAAGTTCTTTACAAAACTGATGGTGTGATAATATCTCAGAGGAAGTTCACCCTTGACTTGTTCAAAGAATATCAGTGCATGGATCACAACAGCTTTGCCTCACCACTAGATCTAACAATCAAACTCAGAGCAAAAGAAGGAGAGGTTTTGACTGATCCTACCTACTATAGAAAATTATTAGGGAAGCTTAACTTCCTCACAAACACTAGATTGGATATAACTTACAGTGTACAGAATCTGAGCCAGTTCATGGATGACCCTGGACAACCTCACTTGAAAGCAGCTTTTCATCTTCTCAGATATTTAAAAGTGGATCCAACTCTGGGGATTTTCCTATCCAAGGATGCAGATTATACTATCAAGGCCTACTGTGATTCTGACTGGGTTGCATGCCCAGATTCCCGGAAGTCTGTGAGTGGGTACCTTGTACTTTTAGGGAACAGCCCTGTCAGCTGGAAATCGAAGAAGCAAGATACCATTTCATTGTCCTCTGCAGAAGCTGAGTATAGAGCTCTAAGGAAGGTAGTGGGCGAATTGGTATGGCTTTAGAGGTTTGTTGTAGGAGCTCACAACTCCTTTCCCTAAACCCCATTACAGTATTTTGTGACAGCCAA